ACTAACTGAGGAAGCTAACTGAGGTCCTTGGAGAACTATATTAATCCCTTCCCAGGGCAGTAACCCTAGTGATCTACCTTCCACTAGGCCCCACCTCTTAAAGGTTCTACCACCTATGCACATTGCCAAACTGAAAAACAACATCTGCACAACAATCTACATTCATAACCTTGATACGATTACATTAGAAACTATTTCCCAGACTTCTGTCTGCATCGTTTTTGCTAAGGAATATCATTATTCTTGCCCCCTCCCCACTGTGGAGTGACAGTGTTTAGCAACTGTTACAATTCCATGGAGTTGGTATTGTTCTAACTGTAATGATTGTACATTTTTAAATAAAAATTCATGCTTGAGGAAGAGCAATTTCCCTCTCGGACTTAAAATCCTGTTATTACCTCTTGTGCCTATCATTTTTTCCTTCTGTTGGCAGTAACCAAAGTATGTTCTTTTAGTATTAATAATATAAAAATCATTAGTGGCAGTTTGAGGGGAAGTTGCATTGTAGGCATATGTGCACTTTACTCTTTTTAAAGAGGGAGTGATTTGGACTGTCCAAAAACATTAGATAGTTTCTAATAGAGCAAATGTGATACAAAGGAAAACAGACAGGAAATGTATTTAAACGGGCTCTGTAACATTAATCTTGGGCAAGTCTATTTTTGTGAGAAACAATTTTCTCATCTCATGTGATTTTTGGGGAGTTGTGGTGAATGCTGGAGATTGAATCCAGATCCTCAAGCATACTAGGCAAGTGCAGTTTTCTCATCTGTGAAATGAGAAAACACTGGGGACTGGGTATACAGTTCAGTGATAGAATGCTTGCCCACTATGCATAAAGCCATGTCAATCCCCAGCACTGAAAAAAAAAAAAAAAAATTGAAAGCTGGGCTAGATCACTGATTCCCCACATGGATCAGAGCTCAACAAGGTTTAAAAGGGATCTCTGCATATTCCACAAGGGAAAATGTCCTCAACTACTTGCTTTCTGGGCTTTCTATAAGCTATATGGAAAGAGTTGGAACCAGTGATTAAATGATGTTTATATGAAGGAGGTGGAGGCAGGAAGATAATAAAGAATGAGTTTTGTGGGTGGGGATGTAGTTCAGTGGTAGAGCATGCTTAGAATGTACAAAGCCCTAGGTTTAATCCCCAGCACCACTCTCTTCACTTTATATACAGTTGGTTTGGTTATGAGATGTCCCTAGAAAAGCTCATGTGTTAGGCAATACAGGAATGTTCAGAGGTGAAATGTTTAGATTAGGAGAGCTATAATCTCATTAGTGAATTAACCCATTTGATGGATTAATAATTAGGGCTACTGGGTGTTAACTGTAGGCAGACAGGGTGTATATGGAGGAAGTAGGTCACTGGGAATGTGCCTTGGGACTATATCTTTTCCCCACCTTCACTCTCTTTGTTTCTTCTTATCAGGTATTTTGGTCACAGTGGACTTACACAAACTAGTTTTTAGGACATTTCCAGTACCTTAATAACATTTGATGACTTATAATATGCTGATATCTGATTAGAAACTCGTGTGTGTGTGTGTGTGTGTGTGTGAGTTTAAGATGTTTCAACTTACTGCCAGGTGATATATTACAGGATAACACAACAGTATGCCTGTTGTAATCTTGTGCTACCATATTGTAGCTATGCAAGACCTACAGTGTCACTGTCAAACCTTGCATTCTTCCCAGATCTCACCACCACCTTCCCACGCACCTCCATTGGGGATTCTTGTGAGAGGTTCTCAGTGGTCTGAAACATAAAAAACCACCTGGAGTAGACATTAGAAAGACAGGTAAGTTATTGTGCCCCTCCTCTGAGAATGTGACTACAATAAGAAGCAGGAAAGCACAAGATATACAGATGTAATTTGTTATAATAACAGAGGAGAGAGCTGTAGAGGAGTTGTGTTTTGTATATTATTTAAACTTAGTTCATATTATTGGTTCAAGCTAGTTTGTTATAAATTTAAGAAGATAATTATAAATTTCCCAAGGCAATCATGAAGATGTTATAAGGAGAAAATTGAAAATGATGCAATAATTGACAATAGTATATTTATTATAAAACTATTCACAATTATTCCTATGTCCCTTTAAACTTTTAAAAAATTTCTTGAACTATCACCTAAGGAAATTGGTGTCCAACAGTGTTTTGGCTTGATGTACAAAGGGCTGAAAAAGTTTTTGTACCTCAATTTTACAGCATAACTCTGAACATATTTTCTTGTCCTTTTGTGTTCTTAGGATGCTATCTATAAGCAATTATCTCAGATTATTCAACAGTTGTAATGTTTTTCAGCATAAACCACAAAGAGAACTACAAACCTTTGGCCTTACTCTGCCTCAGTCCCTTTTAAAAATGTAGCATAAATTATGTAATACTTATATGAGGTTTAAATAAACACATGGATCTGGAGTTATTGTTTGCTGATCCCACTGAAGCTAATTGTTCTTTTTCATGATCAGCTTGTCTTGCTGTTTAATTTCATGCTGTGTAACAAATGACCACAGATGTAGAAGCATTGAGCAATGCACATTCTCTTATACTCTTTGAGTCAAGAGTCAGGGCACACTTTAGCACTTTAGCAGTATCTTCTACTCAGGGTCTCACAGGCTCTAATCCAGTTATTACATTCTTTAATATATATAAAGATAGATATGTGTGTGTGTGAATGTATTTTTTTAAGTTGTTGATAGACTTTTATTTTATTTATTTACATGCAGTGCTGAGAATTAAACCCAGTGCCTCACACATGCCAGGCAAGTGTGCTACTGCTGAGCCCCAGCTCCAGCCCCGCAGTTGTTACATTCTTTTTTTTTTTTTAATACATTTATTTTATTTACTTATTTTTATGTGGTGCTGAGGATCGAACCCAGGGCTTGGTGAGCTAGGCAAGCACTCTACCGCTGAGCCACAACCCCAGCCCATTGTTGGAGATTCAATTGGAGAAGAATCTGCTTCCACCATCTTCAAGTTGTTGGCAGAATGCCCATCCTTATGGTTACAGGACTAAAGTTACTATTTGCTTGTTGGTTGTCACCCAGGATCTGCTCTTAACTCTTAGGTGCTTCCCCTCTAACTGTGGAATATGCACAGTTACAGTTTGGATTTGAGGTGTCCCTCAAAAGCTCCTGTGTTAATTCAGGAATATTCAGAGGTGAAATGATTATTAGATAGATTATTAAAACTGTAACCTGATCAATTCATCCTAGTTTGAATGTAATGGGTGGTGCCTGTAGGCAAAGTGGGGTGCAACTAGAGAAGGTAGGTCACTGGGAGTATACCCTGGAAAGGTTTGTCTTCCTTGTGCCCCTTCCCCACCCTTTTTGCTTCCTATTTGTCATGAGGGGAGAAGCTTTCTTATACAATGCCCTTCTATCATTATGTTCTGCCTCATGTTAGGCCCAGAGCAATGTATTTGGCACACCATGGAATGAACCTCTGAGATCGTGAGATAGGATGAACTGTTTTCTTCTTTTAAATTGTTGTCAGGTATGTTGTTTGCAGCAAAGAAAAACTAACAGACATTATTAATGTCTCTCACTAAATCTGTCACTTAAGCTTCAGTGAGTCCAAAATGAATTTGTGCTTATATGGTATGTGTTTCCATGTATATAAAACATAGACTTATATTCTTTTCTCTATTCCTCTTCCTCTGAACCCCTTGAAACTTTACCCCCATTACTCTGTGATTCTTCCTTGCTAGAGCCATTGCCCCCACTCTCTCAATCACCCTCAGTGATTTGGAGTAGAAGGAGACAGGTAGTTATAGAATGGAAATCGGAAAAAAGAGACCTTATTCTGTGTCATGAAATATTAGGATATTCTTGATAGCTTTCCATAGCTGTGACAAAATATCTGAGCAAAAAAAAGGCTGAAAGATTTATTTTGGTTCACAGTTTCAGTCCATAATCAGTTGGCTACATTGTCTCTGGACATGTGGTGAGGCAGACCATCATGGTGGACGGGTGTGACAGAACAAAGCTGCTCACCTCATGGCAGCTAGGAAGTAGAAAGAGAGGCCAAAAGTCCCTGAACATTGCTGTATTATAGACCAAGCCTCCAACACTTGAGCCTTTGGGGGACACTCCAGATCTAAACTACACACACCCATATCCAATTTTGAATATTGTCAATATTGACATTTGACTATGATTGACTTATTTGATTTTTATGATTTCTTAGCAATCAGGCAGACACTGGAAAAACTGAAAAATGCAAAAAAAAAAAAAAACCAACTAATTGTTTTCAAATATAATGAAATTTATTTATGTTTTAAATTTAAATATTAAGGAAGTTACCCCATATATGCACATGTATATTATATAATTTGTATCAATTAAAATATTAAAAATTTCAGGGCTGGGGTTGTGGCTCATGGATACAATGCTCGCCTAGCACGTGCGAGATGCTGAGTTGGATCATCAGCACCACATAAAAATAAATAAAATAAAGCTATTGTGTCTAACTACAACTAAAAAAAAAATTTAAAAATATTAAAAATTTATGAAGCATAAAAATATATAAAAATTCAAACATTTTAATTTTTTTAAAATCCATTTTTAAAAATTAATTTATTCCATCACCCTGTAGGAGGAGTCACATCAGAAAGACAGGAGAGTTAGGAGCAGCCAGCGGCTCACAGGTTATTGGGAACACCAAGATCAGCAACTCCTGTGCAGGCATTTGCCCTCCTCCGCTGCCCATCAGGTCTAGTCACAGGGACTCTGCCCTCTTCCTCCCCGCTCTTGCCTCCAAGCCAGGGCTCAACAGAGCAAGAGCCACCTATGAGGGAGAGACACAGCTACTGTCACAGGCAGCACCGCCACACAAGCAGAGAGGCGCTGATGCCACTTCAGGAGAAACAAAACTCAGTCTAAACGTCCAATTTCAAAATTTCGGCATTCTCCTTTCCTAAGGTACTTGTAGGAGTTCCACAGACAGGCAGTAACACGGGGAACAGGCCTGGGACCAGGTGACCACGGCAAGGTTCACTCTAAGGCAGCCAGCTGCTCCATAGCTTGCCGGACTTTCCTAGCATTTTCTTCAAATTCTTTCTGCTTGCTGTTGGTTTCCTTTGCAATTTTGTTCTTGGCTCTTTCTTTGTCCAGTTTCAAAAATTCACCAAGGGTTAATTCTTCAAGCTTCTTCTTGACAGAAAGGAATGCACACCCAGACGAATGCTTTTTATGTTCCTCTAAGGGGTTGTCACTTGGCTCCCAGCCTTCCAGCTCCTTGAAGCAGAAGAAACACTTGGCCAAGTCGGGCTCGTTGTCAGTGGGGCAATGGATGAAGCCGGCCTCGGCCATCCGCTCCGGGGTGCAGGCGCAGCCCTCCAGGAAGGGCCAGTTCTTGAACATGGAGACGCGGTGGTCCTTGAGATAGAGCTGCCAGGTCGGTGGCAAGAACTGAGCCCCCATGGCGCCGCCGCCGCCTCAAACATTTTAATTTTATAGTTTTATTTTCTTATTTAGAACCAGTTCCTCACCTGCCCAGATTTCAGACATTTTCCTGTGCTCTTAAAAAGCTGGGGGACCCTGGCACTGTTGTATTCACATGTAGTAGCATGTGAATTCATATGTTGGAAACAATCCCCCAAGTCACTTTCTGTATAGAAATATGAGTTACAAATAACCTTCTCTCATTTTGTGTTTTTTGTCATTTCACCTTCCTTGTGGTTTCTTTCAACAAATAGAAGTTTTTTTTCTGTTAATATAGTCAACTTTGTTGTTAAGATAGTCAACTTTGTTATTTTGTATTATGGTTAACACATTTTGTGTCTTGTTCATTATTCTTAGATCAAAAAGACATTCTATATTTTCTTTGGAAAGTTTAAAAAAATTCCATTCCTATTTGTTTAATTCATCTCTGATATATTTTTTCATAGGGACTAAGCATGCTTTATCTTTGTTGAAAAGTCCATTTCTTCCCAGCGATTCTATGATGTTATCTTTGCCTTATGAAATTTCCAATATGCCTGGATCTGTTTCTGGCTCTGGGCTCTCTATTCTGTTCCATTAATTGTTTATTATTCTTTTTATATTTTTATTTTTTGGTACCGGGGATTTGAATCCAGGGCCTTGTGTAATGAGCTACATGTCAGGTCCTTTTTATTTTTATTTTGAGAAAGGTTCTTTCTAAGTTGCCTGGCTGGTCTTAAACTGCAACTCCTGCCTCAGCCTTCCTAATAATAGATTATAGATATGTACCACTGCACCTGTCTTCTATTTGTTTTTGTACCAATATTGTACGGTGTTACTTTAGATTTATGGTAAGCCATGCTGTTAAATTTTAGAATAATTTATCAAGTTCTATAAAACTATGTCAAAGTTTTGATTGAAATTTAATCTAAATTTAATTTAGTCATTTTGGAGGGATCAATATCTTTACAGTGTTGTGTGTTGTGTCTTCCTATCAATGAAAACAATAGTTCTCTGTTTCTCAATGAAATTTTATAATTTTTAGATGCCACCCTTACATCTCTTTCTTTTATTTGGGATTGGGGAGGTACTCTGGATTGAACACCAAGGGGTGCTTTATCACTGGGCTACATTCCCAGCCCTTTTTATTTTTTGAGACAGGGTCTCACTAAATTGCTGAGGCTGTTTTTGCGCTTGTGATCTTCCCACTTTAACCTCCCAAATCTCTGGATTACAGGTGTGCACCAATGAACTCTCCTGGGTTTTTTTTGTTTGCTTTTATTATCTTGCCCTTTTAATGGATCTCTTATCTTTGCATATTTTTCTGCATAACACATTACCCTCAAACTTAGGGAACTAAAATAACATCATATATTGTTTTGTGGTTCATGGAATCAGGACTTTGGGGAGTGGCTTGGTTGGAAGTTCTAACCTGAGGTCTCTTAAAAGGTTGACGTTAAGATTCAGGCTGAGGCTAGAGGATCTGCTCCCAAGGTGGCTCCCCAATTTGATGTTGGTTATTTGCAGGAAGCTTTGGTTCCTTGCCATGTAGACCACTGACAAGATGGCTCGAGTGTCTTTACTGCTGATTCACCTGGAGTAAGGGACCACAGACCAAACTGTAAAGTGCAGTATCTTTTATCTTTTATGACAACTTTGGAAGCAAGACATTGTCACTTTTGCCTTATTTGATTTGTACTAAGAGTCCAATAACAATTCAGAGAGGGAAGATGTTACATAAGTGCTTAAATACCAGGAAGCAAGGATCACTGGGGCCATCTTGGAACCTGGTTACCACACTAACCTTCCAGTTTATCTGAATGGAAAGGTGTAATGACTCTTGTAAACCTTATCTAAAACAGTGAATTATCCCCTACCATGTGAATGTGATATGCCAATGTTTATTCACTGTAAGAGGAGTCTTCCATTTGTGCTATGTTGAAAGTTCATTTGAAACCATGTAATTAGACCATTGAAAAATATGTTGAAATGTAATGAAGACATTCTTCATTTCAGTGGTACACAAATAGTCCTTAGCAGCCTTTTATTTTAGCCTAATATGTAAGGGGTCAAGAAATAGATCAAGGGGGCTGGAGTTATGGCTCAGTGGTCGAGCACTTGCCTAGCATGTGTGAGGCACTGGGTTCGATTCTCAGCACTACATATAAATAAATTAATAAAATAAAGGTCCATCAACAACTAAAAAAATAATAAAAAAAGAAATAGATCAAATGACTCCAGGTATTTAATTAATTTAAAAAAAAATTATTTATTTTTAGGTACTAGGAATTTAACCCAGGGGCACTTCACCACTGAGATATATCCCAGTCCTTTTTATTTTCTATTTCGAGACAGGATCTGGCTAATTTGCTAAGTCTAGCCTTTAACATGTGATCCTCCTATCTCAGCCTCCTGAGTGGCTGGGATTACAAGCATGCCCTGCCAAAGCATCAGGAGTTTGTAACATTCACTTGAAAAATCTCTGCCCTTGGAGATTTTAGTAGATTTCTCCTGGATTCTATTTTAGGCATTTAGATATCTTTCCCTTGTTCAGTGGATTCCTCACATTAGTGCCCTACACTTTTTGGTTGGTCTTGTTGGTTTGGTGTTATGCACACACATACACAGATGAGCCTTTACTTAAACTAAACATATTCTGAACCTAGTAACTTCACTAAGGTTTAGGGTGGAGTATCTGCAAGGAAAGAATTCTGTTGCATAGCTCCTGTCAGGCCTCTGACCCCTCTGTGTAGACCCTGTTTCCTCCTGCTTCTCTCCCAGTACTTCTTTGTAAAAAAGAAACAGTCAAGAGCTTCCTTTGTCTTCTTCTCAGGTCCACAAACAATCTCGCAATATTTCAGAGCAGGAGTTTCTAAAATGTGGTCTTTGGGGCCAGGTGTGGTGGAATACACCTGTTATCCCAGTAATTTGGGAGGCGGAGGCAGGAGGATCAAAAGTTCAAGTCTAACATGAACAACTTAGTGAGACCCTATCTCTAAATAAATAAATAGATAGATAGATAGATAGGACTAGAGATGTAGCTCAGTAGTAGAACACCTCAGGAATGGTACAGTACCCAGTAACACACATGAATGTATGCATGCACATGCATGCGCGCGCGCACACACACACACACACACACACATGTCACACATTTTCACAGTTTACCCCTAGATATTTGGTTTGCTGTTGCAAATGGCATCTTTCATCCATTTTATTTTCTAACAAGTTAAAACTGAAGGAAAGCTGTTGATTGTTGGAAATGATTGTTTTTGTTTTTTGGTGCTGGAGACTTAACTCAGGGGTGCTTAACCACTGAGCCACATCCCCAACCCTTTTTATTTCTTATTTTTTAAATATTTATCTATTTTAAAATATTTATTTTTAGTTTTAGGTGGACACAATATCTTTATTTCATTTTTATGTGGTGCTGAGAATTGAACCCAGTGCCTCACGCATGTTAGGTAAGCGCACTACCACTGGAGCCACAACCCCAGCCCAAAATATTTATTTTCTAGTTGTAGTTGGACATAATACCTTTATTATATTTATTTATATGTGGTGCTAAGGATCGAACCCAGAGCCCCTCAGGAGCTAGGTGAGCACTTTACCGCTGATCCACAACCCCAGTCCCAGTCCTTTTTATTTTTTGAGACAGGGTCTCACTATAGGACCTTGCTAAGTTGCTGAGGCTAGTTTTGAACTTGGGATCCCCCTGTCTCAGCCTTCTGAGCCACTGGGATTATAGGCATGTGCCACCACACCTGGCTAGGTTTAAATGTTTAAATTTTTCTTTTGTTTTTTATAATTTCTTTACTTCTTTCACTTCGTTATCAAGTCTTTTTTTAAAATTTTTTTTAATATTTATTTTTCAAGTATCAGCGGACACAACATCTTTGTTTGTATGTGGTGCATGAGGATCGAACCCGGGCCGCACGCATGCCAGGCAAGTGCGCTACCACTTGAGCCACATCCCCAGCCCCAACTCTTTTTTCTTTCACCATTCAAACATCTATTACCCTTCTAGTTTTCCCAGCTAGTCTCACTGGGGCCAGGTCATTTTCATTACTTGTGGACCATTATAACCTCCTGGAAATTTTTTTTTTTTTTTTAAGAGAGAGAATTTTTTAATATTTATTCTTTAGTTTTTGGCAGACACAACATCTTTATTTGTATATGGTGCTGAGGATCGAACCCAGTGCTGCGCACATGCCAGGCAAGCGCACTACTGCTTGAGCCACATCCCCAGCCCTGGCAGTGGGTTTTCTTGCTCCCAGTCTCTGCTTCTCTTGTTGGCTCATCTTGTAAACATTAAGCCCCTTCCATGGGCCAGGTGCCAGGCATTTGTAGATCAATGTCAGGCCGTGCTCCCAAAAAGCTAAGACAAATGGAGATACAGGTAAGCCTATAATCATAATATTATGGTGGCATCTGCCACCAGAGTTTAGAAGAGGAAGGCAGGATTATGGCCAGCTCTAAAGGAGAGGTAACTTATGAACTGAGTCTTATAGGATTAGTATGAATTGGCCAGGAATTCATCCTTGTGAAATTGTAAACTCTTTCTTTCTTTTGTTTGTTTGTTTTTTGGTACTGGGGATTGAACTCAGGGCACTCAACCACTGAGCCACATCCCCAGCCTTTTTTTGTATTTTATTTAGAGACAGGGTCTCACTGAATGGCTTAGGGCTAAATTGCTGAGGCTGGTTTTGAACTCACGATCCTCCTGCCTCAGCCTCCCAGGGCACTGGGATTACGGGTGTGCGCTGCTGTACCAGGCTATAAACTCTCTTTGACCATACTCTTCTTTTAGAATTTTTTTCTCTGAATATAAACTTTCTACATATTTTACATTTAAAATATATTTTTGTTTTAAACTGACACATGGCAATTATACGTATTTACAGTGGTACAATGTGATATTTCAGTACATGTATATAATGTGTAATGATCAGATCAGGGTCAGTGACACATCTATCACCTCAGACATTTATTAAATGTCC